ATTTTATTTCTTATAAATGTAGTCATTAATAATAGGAGGGGTTGTGGGTTGTTGTTGTTTTTTTACTTACCTCACATTGGCCATGTTTAGTAGCTGCATTTCTGGATTTTTAATGTACAATTTTATATTCAGTTAAAACAAACATTACTTTTGTCCTTGTGCCTTACTCCTCAGTCCCTCACATAGACCGGTGTCTGTAAACCCTTAAGATGGTTATGTGGAAGAATCACAAAAGCACTGATTTGCTGCCAAGTGATTGGCTGATTAGATATTTGAAGTTAATGAGTACCTAAAAAGATGTACCCGATAAAGTGGCCAGTGAGAGTATATCTATGCATATCATGATGAAGAACAGCTGTAAAATGGCACTTCTCATATCTAACTTTGGACTGTTGGTGCCACCACAAACACACATCTAACAGAAATCACATTAATTACATATTAAATTGTCCACAGTTAAGATCAAAGGATAGATAAATGTGATTAATAGCTTCAGCCATTTCAGTTCATTATAAATGTATAACTCCCAAAGAAATAAATTATATTTTCATTGATGCATCTTCTCATGTGTATTTAAATGCAGTTCTGTATTTTTCTATTTTGCATCTGTGGTTTGACTGAAGCTTGTAAAATGTTATTTGGCTTTTGTGCGTCTTTATCAGTCTCTCACATCATTGTGGTGGAATTTGTGTGGGCCCACTTCTTAACTCGTGAATGACCTTTCTTACTGCAGCATGACAGACTTCAAATTGTTTAGAAATGACCTTATAATGCTCCCAGATTAATGTACAACAACAATTCCTCCTCTGAGATCAGTGCTGAGGTCTTTCCTGTTTGTGTTAACATACACACAGCCCAGCAAACTGACAAAACCTGTTTTTATGGAGGTGGCCACACTTACTGATGATCAGTTTATCAAGTTCATTTGATTAGCAGAACTTGCCGCTACTTACTGTTTCTAACAGAATTAAGAGGGTAAGGGTGGACTTCGTCTTCGTTTTTCATGCGAGTCCAATTTAGGTTGATAGTCTCAGATAAAGAAACCATTTATCCTATTTGTGTGCAAGTTAATTTATTGTAATAAACATAATTTGATAGCAACAAAGGGTTAGATTAAAACTAATTTGTAATACATGCACCTAACCCATCGTGCCATGAGCTTTTTCATGTCATAGAATGAGTGTGGCATCTGGGACACCGGTCAAATCTTTATTTAAATGCTCCTAATTATTGGGTTGCAGGTAACGCTTCCATGTATTATACCAATGACTACCACACTTCCAAAGCCATATGTTACTCATTTTAATTTATCAGTTACATTACCTGATAGCTATTTGGTTTTTTTAATCTACCTAATGAATGCTGTCTAAACCTGCAGTGAATCAGCAGACTCCACAAAGTAAATATCAGCAATAGTGACTCATCTGACTTCCATATCAGCGGACCCAGACGTGGACTCTTGCACCTAAAGTTATAAAAGTCTCGTCTACACCAGGACATACCGGTAAAGAAGCAAATAAATGAACAGACACATTTCACTGGTTCATCTTATTAATCTGAAATATTTTCATGAGTCAGTTATATACAATGTAAGTGCCCCCCCCAGAAAAACAAAAAAAAAGAGTGGCAAAGCTCATTTAGGAAAGTTGAAATTGTACAATGATGAGTTTACCATGTTCAATATCGATGGGTTCATCCCAATGTACGTGAATTTGATTTCAATTGTAGCTTTACTTCCTGGAAGGAACGAGGCCGTTATTCCCACGCCAAAATATACACAACCCCTCTTCACTGGTGTCTTCTCCGACGGTCACACGTTACAGTAAATATCAAATACTCTTCATAGATCTTCCTTTAAAAATAGTCAAAGCTATATTGCCTCAGTCCATGCGCAAGTGAAAACGCTTCGGATACTGTGCATCATTTGAGAGATAGGGAGTTTATTCCTTTAGCTGCTGCTGCTGCTGCCACCGCCGCTTCTTTTGCTGCAAAGAGAAAATTCAAGATGAAAACAACCAGTTGTTGTAGTGGACCTAGGATTGATTAACTACTAATCCACGACTACTGCAAATGCTGGGATTGTGTCTATACGTTTCTGGAATCAGACTAGACATCAATACATGCTTAATAGACCATCTCAGAGCAGGAAATCAGTCACATGAATCACAATTGTTTTGGAGAAGACTAAGCAGGATTAAGTACTTTGTCAGCTTTCTTAATTTAATTCTGAACTTCAGTGTGCATGACTCAAGTCACAGCCTGACCTGACTATCAGAAATGTACCTACACATGGCAACAACTGGATATTATTGTCAAAGGTCTGTTTGACAGCAATAAGTGAGTATATTGTTAGCACAAGGATGAGACAAAATGTAATAAGCTTCAACTGTGTTTTGTGTTCTGCCAGTGTAAACAAGTGCTGTTTTTTTTCTACTCAGAGTCAACAGGAGACTTCTTTCACACAGAAATACATGCACACACTGTATAGGACATGAGAGATTTATCAACACTAACAAGTTTATTAAAGTACACCTAATATGCTCTTTCTGACTTTTGTATCAACTGTGGACACTCATGTTATCAAGGTCAACGGTAAAAAAAAAAAAAAGTTAGATCATTCCGATTAGTCTCTGAGAGCGAAAGGTTCAGGCTTTAAACTGCTCCAAACACTCAGTGTCAGACAGGGTTTTTTTTCTACTGTTGGCTCTGTATGACATGAATTAGAGCAGAGATCCTGAACATAGTCATTTCAGGTAGATGGCTCTGGCATGAGCACAGAAGCCTCGCCCACCTGTTGTTTCAAGCCTGCTGGCTGGGCGGGACAGCCAATCAAGAGAAAGGTTTGTCTTAAAGGAGGAGACACTAAAACAGCCTACTGCAGACAAAGGACATACCGAAATGCTCAACCAAAGACTAGTATGAGAAATATGGATTCTTTTTGAAATGGGAATCATTCAAAGCTATTTTAAAGGAGTGGAACTGAAAACAAGCGTAACAGATCAATGCCGGGAGATACAAGTATGGCAAACATCAATTACAATACTGCCATAACTGTGACAATCTGGCTTTGTAACACCAATAATAACACTTTGACCATTGCTGCAACTCCTCAGGAAAAGTGCAGAGTAATCGTGCTTGTCCTCCACTTGGTATAAGACACAAGAAAAACAAATATGAGCTAATGGGAGAGAAGTGGGACATATAGCACTTGCAAAATAAGGCACTAATTCAGGTTTTGTACAATGTAACAGGACAGTGATTTGTCCCTCAACTAAGTCTTATCACCACTTTAAACTGTAAGATATATATTGTTATGTTGTATGACTGCCATTGAGTATTGAATTAGAAAAACAAGGTTTTAGGTAAATTATTTTAATTGATTTAGTAAACATAAAAAACACTTTATTGTGAGAGCCTCTCCTTGCTGAAAGTCAGTGAGGAAAGTAACATATTTATTACTAACTGAAAACTGGAGATAAGATGAGTAAAAACATCATAAAACAAGTTCGGAGGTAACGGTAAGGGGACTGGTACTCCTATAGCACCTTTCCATTTTTAAACGGCGGTCTACGATCACACACAATAAATTAGTGCTTTTATCTAACCCTAAGCACCTTTTAATATCTAATATCGTAAACTAAACCTGTTACAATAATAAATATATAATACATACTGTATACTATTAAAAATAGTATGTATTTTCACTCCTCCAGCTGCCCTTAAGATATCATCGAAAAGAATGCTGAACACTAAAAAAAGTAATAGGGTGTAAGGTGTGCCAATAACAGTGCAGTTTTTCTGAAAATAAATGTAAAGAATTCACTTTCATTGCCAGTTTTCCTCACAGGAAACTCAACATTTACCACCTGCTGTTTAATTCAGTCTGTGCTGTTAAATAACCACTTGTGAAATGCCTGCACAGCTGAGGTACTTACCTTTTTTCTCCTCTTCTTTCTTTCTCGCCGCATCCTCTCTCTGTTTTCTAATGATGGCGAGGCGAGCGAGGTCAGCTTTGGCCTGGTCTGTCTTGCCGGCCAAGTGCATCTTCATGTAACGCTCCTTGGCCTTCTGCTTCTCGATCTCTTCTCTGTGCAGAAGAACATGTTTCAGGGTTAGAGGAATGACAAGAGTTCAGTTTTGCTGTAATGTTCTACACACAAAAAGCCTTTATGACACGTAGTCAACTCAGATTAGATTTGTGTGTACCAAACAGCTTTTTCTCAAACTGTTAACAATTTGCGCTTCAGGTTCATAATCCACAATAGTCCAAATGTCATAAGCTCATTGAAAAGGTTTCACTTAATACTATACTTTCAAGTAAAGTCCCCTATTGGCACTAATACAAGGTGACAGGCTGATGACACACACCTCTCTCTCCTTGACAATTGCCGGGGCTCTTCCAGCTCAATCTGCGTCACCTTCTTGGACTTCTGAGCCACTCTGTTGGGGTTCTCAATTTCTATCAATCCCTCGACACCGGCTCTCCTTCTCTGCAGACAAACACCAACATTTCATACAGTGCAAGGCAAACACTAACAACATATTGAGATCATAAGAAGTGCTTTAAGTGTGCACATTAAATAACATATTGGCCTTTATGTACATGATGGAAAAGCTGTGGCAGTACCTGGGAATCTTCATCATCGCTGTCCTCTGATCCAGAACCTGGTAGCTTCTCTTCTGCTGTGTCATTCTGAGCTGCACCTTCCTGCTCCTGCTCTTCTTGCTCTTGCTACAATACATAAATGACTGTTATTTTTTACATAATAAAGATGTTTAACTAAACATCTAATCGCTGAGATACCTTAAGAAAAAGAAGTGCAATTTCAATTTCAACAATACATCTCAATTTCTCTACATGATATATTTTTATAAAATGGCATAACCCCCTCCCTTTTTTTGGTAGCTCATTAAATAAAAAGGTTCTATAGCAGATGGTGAAAACTGTAACTTTTCAGTCATTTAGTTGTTTAGCTGTTACTTAATCACTTTGGTTCGGTATGAGTTGTTATGGGGGGGACTGGCTTTTCTTTTTCAATAAGAAAACCTATGAAAAAAAGTGGGCCGGACTGGATTCTTTGCTGGACCGATTCTAGCCCCCTTGCCTTATGTTTGACATCTCTGACGTAACAAGGATAACTTTCAATCAGGAGTGTCTAACAAAAATGTATCCGGCTAAGTTTTATTCTTTTCAGCTGCTTTCGCGTTGCATTGTGGGAAGTGTAGTCTCCAGTCGGTCTACTTGTGTGGGACATGACTGAGTGTATACTCCACCAACCTTTCTCCTCTCCTTTTCTGCCTTCATCTGGGCATCTATCTCTTCGGGGCTGGTGTACGTCCGCATCCGACCCTTGTGGCCACCTTTCTTACCTGGAAGGACGACGAAAAACACAGATGTAATCGCATTTTGTACAGAGCACGAAAGAAAGAGCGGACAGACAGGCATCAGATGAATCTGAGCAGTTTATAGACATGCTGGCACAGGCCTGCTTAATGCTGAAACATCATTCAGAGCGTAGTTATGCGAGTTAGAATGCCGCCCCTGCGGTACATGTCGATCGGGTGGCTAACAGCGGACAAACAAACATACAAAAATGATTTCAGTCCATTCGAACAACTTTTAGAGTCACTCTTACCTCCTTTTGGCATTTTAACAAACGAAGTCTTTACTATAAAGTCCCTAACCAGTGAACACTGACAGAAAACATAAATGTGGCGGCAGCGACACAAACTGACAGCTGGCTAAACTCACAGTTGCGATCAGCAGCAGTATATTTTGAGTTGTCCAAGGATATGCCGGTTCATAAATAGTGACCACATGGGTTTTTTGGTAAGCCCGTATGCCGCTATGAACCACACATAAAATATTCCAAGAAACGTGTTAGTTATTTTTCTAAATAACATTGGCTATCGTAGTGTAGAAATCTAAATAATGCCCTTAAATGTAAGGCAATTTGTAAGACTGCTAAAGTGATGCAATAGACCAGGCCCGACAGTAAAACATACTTAACCGTACGAAATAAGTATTTTAGGGGAACTTGCATAGTTTATTAGGCTGAGACAAGTTTTAAGAAGTTACTTAACGCCTTTATAAAGAGGTTATCTTAAGGTTCGCGCAATGACGTCGTTCGAGAGACGGAAGGCCTTTTAATCAACCCCCGCATGTGACGTCATATATACGCGCCTGAGAGGGGCTCGTAAGACAAACAGGAAAATACTTAGAGCGTTTTGTTGCATTTTTAGCTAAACATAGACAAAATGCCAAAAGTAAAGAGGAGTCGAAAGCCTCCCCCAGACGGCTGGGAGCTCATTGAGCCCACTTTGGACGAGCTGGATCAGAAAATGAGAGAAGGTAGGTCAGGGAAGTTTCTCGGGGTGATCGGCCGTGGGGCTGTATGCGCAAAGTGCGTCCTGTGTATGACACTGTGAAGCAGCATGGTCTCCCCACACTGATGGATTCGGGTTATTCAGTTTCAGTACATGTTTATATTTGAAACACAAGTTGGCTCTCACCTGAGTTATGTGTATGTACTCACAGTAAAAAAATTGGGGTGGGGTGGGGTGGGGGCGGCGGCAGTGGTTTTCCTGGATTTTCTGTTCACATCAGCTACATCCGGTAACTGGGAAGAAATGGGAAGCTCACCTGGCCCATCATATTTCTGCTTACAGGTGCCAAAATCCTGTGTGGGTTCACCATATTAATACATTGCATTGTATCAGTTCCCCAAGGCAGGTAGTCCTTGTGATGTCATGCTCCTGGTATCAAAGCTAACCATCCTGAATCTTGTTCTGTGTTCTAGCTGAAACTGAGCCGCACGAGGGGAAGCGAAAGGTGGAGTCCCTCTGGCCCATTTTCAGGCTGCATCATCAGCGGAGTC